ACTAAATCTAGAGACTAGGGATGGAGCTCAGTGATAGAACATATACAAAGACTAGCCATGGCCTTGCATTACATCCCCAATACCAAAAAATAATCCAATACATGTAAAGAAATAAAATACTGAAAAAAGTCTATATTCTGACTTCATGAACAGTACCATAAATGGAGGTACCAACTAAACTCCAGTGCCTGGTGTTCTCAGTGCACTGCGTAATCCTTCATGATGGGCATGTGGCAAGCATATATAATGTAGCAGTTAGGAAGCTAAAACAGGAGTATCGCTTCAAGTTCAAGGTCAGCCTGGGAGATACAGTATCAAGCCAGGAGGGTATTTAGAACATACTCTTTTTCAAATCAACAATATAAATAAATAAAAATCTGCTGTTTCAGTGTGTAGATAAATTGAAATCTCTCATGGGTACTAAAATATCTACATTTCATATAAATACACATGAAAACTATAAACAAAAAGAGCAGTACAATACTCCTATAACAAGTTAAAAGTTAAGTTTACCAAGCAGTGATATTTTCCCTACGTTTTCTATTTTTTGTAATGTTTTGCTGAAACTTTAAAAATACAAATACTGGGAAGCAGTATTCCCTAATGCATCTGGAAGAAGGAAAGGAATTACAAGGTCAGCGGTCTTTGCTAGAATGACAAATGGACATCCATCGGTTCCTGTTCCCATTAAAGCTGGTGAGAGTTCACATTCTTCACCACACAATGGAGCTTTCATCAATGCTGGAAAACATTTTTGTGAGAAGATTTGCAGAGAATGGATGGAATTCTTAATGTTGCAAGCATCCATTGAGTTATTTAAAAGGACAATGACTGAATGACTAATTAGAAATGTTTCGGTGATATTTATGTTACAAAAGAAAAGATTTAAGCCTAGCATTTTCTCTTGAGTCAGAAAAGCTACATTAAGTTTGTTGACTGTGGGCATCAATTCTGGAATGATCTGCCCTCCAAACTCTGAGAGCTGCCTTCCCTTTGGCCAGCTAATGCTTTTGACATCCTACTTGATTTCTAAGTGTCACTGTTTGAATGGTTGCTTGTACATACCTCATTCTACCCTACCCCGAAACAGGACTTAAGATGACTCCAAAGGACATACAGCATGATAAATGATCATAAAAAAAGGAAAATGAGACAAAGGAAGGCTAAAGCAAGAAAGACAGATGAAGTGTCCTGTAGTCAAAATTAAAATAAGCTAAAACCTAAGTTTCTGATAGCAAAGGCACCAGCTAACCATTCAACATCACCACATCAAAGATGATCTATTGGGTCAGCGAGATGGCTCAGTGGTCAAGATGGCTATTCTTCTGGAGGACCACGGTTCAATTCCCAGCACCCATATGGCAGCTCAAAATGGTCTAGATTTCCAGTTCCAGGAGATTGGACACCCTCACACAGACATACACGCATGCAAAACACCAATGTATACGAAATAAGATTTTTAAAAATAAGAATTCCGTTTCTTTTTTAAAAATGTTTTAAAAAACACAATTCTAATGCTGAGAGTATATGACTAGCACACACATAACTCTGGGTTCCATCGAACACCCATAACCTAGGCACGGTGCTGCATGTAGAGGCAGGATGATAAGAAGAAGTTCAAGGTCATTCTCTGCTATATACTGACTATGAGGCCAGCCTTTTTCAGTCAGCTTTTTTTGGTTATTTAACATTTACTTTTAAATACATAAAGTTTCTGTAAATCATGTACTTATAAAGTCTTAAAAAGAAGGCAAAACATTTGAGAGTAACTTTACTACATCAGTTCTTCAGAGACATAGTTTTATGTAAGAAAGTAGTATGCAATTTGATTAGTCTAGAAACGTATTTCTCATGGAGTAGAAGAGAGGTTCTCAAAACAAATGAAAAAGGAAAGGAAAAATTGAGAAAAGCATTTGATAAATGCACCTAGCAAAGATATACTTAAAATTTTCTCTCCTAGCAAAGACAGTAAAACATTCTCTCCACAAAAGGCTTGTATATTCTTGGGTAGGTTGTTCACATTCTTAGGATTTTGTTGCCATTATTAATGATGGCTCATTAGAAAATTAGGTAATTCAATATACCTACTTTTATTTTTAGATTTATTTACATGTGTGCATGCATGTCACTGAGCAAATGCACCGTGACTATATTGAGACAGAGGACAGCTTACAGGAGTTGGTTCTCTCCTACCAAGTGAGCCAAGAGGATCCAACTCAGTCAGGCATGATGACAAGTGCCTTCAATTAACTACCATATTTTTACACTGGTACTTTATCTAGCAAGTTTACTGAACTCTACAATGAACTTTAATCGTTTTTGTATTTGGATTCCTATCACTTGCTCCTCTTTGTGACTGTAAAAGAAGAAGATTCCATTAGCCTCTGTTAAAAACAACTCCCTGGAATTCTCAAAATTCAATAGTGTTCTCTGGCTGTCACTAGCCCTTACGGCTCTCTCACTGGGGACTTGTGTTAGCACAGTCTTCAGCCCTCTTGCTCCATTCTTCAATAGCAGCCCCCTCCCACTTTACTTCACACTCTAACAGAGATTAATAACACCGCATCTGACTACACTCTCTTGCCAGTGTCCATGCTTTCTTGTCCCTTTAATACATCTGCCTCTTCGTGGAAGGGTCAAGCAAACATTAATTTAGCTTCCTCTCACCATTCCATGTAGAGAATAATTCCCAAGAAAATAAGAAATTATGAGTCTCTGGAATGTCATCCTACACACACTTGCACTGATCTGCCATCCCATCACACACCACTTCATAAAACAGCCCTGTCTACTTCCCTTAACCACTGTCTAAAGTTTTAGCATTTTCCTAAAATTATCTTTTCACTTTCTTTGTTCCCTTAGTATATGAGTTTTTTTTTTTACTGATACTCCTAGGTTTGTAATTTAAACTCCAATAAAACTGAACTACAGGCCAGGGGGGCAGCTTAGGCAGGAAAGGCACTTGCTGTGCAAGCCTGGCGGACTGAGTTCAATTCCCAGAGCCCATGCAAAAGTGAGAGGAGAAATCCAACTCCACAAAGATGCCCTTTGACCTCCACACATATGGTATAGCACAAGCAATCCCACACACAGACACAGGCAGACACACACACACATGCCCCCACATACAGAAAATAAATAGCAATAAATAAATTTAAAGATAAAAACTGAACTACTTGAGAGTCCCTAAATATGTCTCCATTTCCTTGCACATTCTCTTCCTCTGCCTGGAATACTCTCCTTCATTTTGCTTACCCAGAATGCCTTCCGAGTTCCTTCCAATCTCAGCTCCATGCTGTCTCCTGTGAAAACTTCCTCAATACATAAACTTCTCCTGCATGCCCTCAGTACACTGCACCCAGAAATTACCATGTCCCATCACACTCACATTTATTCCTATAAAAGACTGCTCCACAGAGGACTGGGAATTTCATTTCAGTTTACTCCCAAGCACGTACTCAGTGCTAGCTAGTTATATGTTAAAAGTAATGAATATTTCCACTAGAGTACAATTCCTTGAGCCTGACATCATATAAAAGAAATGATTTTAGAGAAAATAAATTTTCAAAACCTTACTTAAGATGATAAGGCTGTTTGACCAGTAACATCAATAATAAATTTATATTCATAATTCAGATAAAATGATCTTATGAGAAATATTTTCCAAGTAAACAACAGAAATCTTTTACTGAAAGATAAACAGCTCTTTGTTTAATACATCTGAATGGATAGCAACTAAATGAACTGAAGCTATAGATAGTACTAATGACACCAATATCAATGTCTTTCTACTTTAACAGATATGAGTGATAAGAAACACTATGAAAACATTGCCATTCACAAAGCACTAATCTCAAATAGCTTAAAACATAAAAGAAAAACCAACAGTGAAAACTGATTCCCATTCCATCCATCCTTCCACTAAAAATGTGCTTTTCAATAAGCAATTACTAATGCACAGAGGTAATATAATATGAAGAATGAAAGCATATCCTAAAATGTCACAGACAACCTGGTGTTCTTTTTATTATGTTAAAACCAAGTAAAATAAATATGCACATATTTGGGGAGAATACAAGGAAATAATAGATACCGACTTCAGGATAATAGCCAAATTAAATGGAGGCAGACCAAGGGAGAGACTGTAAAGACAGCAGTTAGTTGAAATCTGAGCTTTCATTTTGGTACTAGATGTTCAGTTACTGAATTTTTTTAAATGGACAGATAGTTAAAAGGAGAGGGAAAAACAGGTAGAGCAGTTAAGAAGGAGAGAAAAGAAAAGAGAGGAAAAGAATAAGGATATTAAAAAAACTCAAAAGATAAAAGTAAACCAAGCACAGACCAAACACTGATAGTGTGTTTGGACCAAGAATTAGTGACCGTAAAATACAATGGCACCAGATAACACTACAAGCACTGCTTGTAGTCTGTAGGCTAACACCAACCTATTATCTCTGAATCAAACTCAAAATTCACCCACCCATTCAAGTCCCACTCTATTACAATTGAGTGTATCTGCTATAAATGGTGTCCAATAAATGTGAGGCCTTTGACACTTGGGAGAAGACATTCTCTTCAGCAAATAACAGCCAGAAATGGAGGAGGGACCTAAATAAATGAAACTAGGACCGATCCATTGATTGGTTTCTGAAATAAAGATGGCAATTCCTACATGCCTCTGAGTAGGAACATGGTGATTGTCATTCATTGTTCAATATTTATCAAGTGCCAATTATATGTCAAATCTCATGAAAAGCAAAAGAACCCTTTGGACTTACAGGTCATACTTGAATCCAGTGTAGTTTCTTCTCTAGAAAGCTCCAGAATTAACAGTGTCCTCAAGAGAACTTTTAGCCACTACTTAAACAACCAATACCAAAGCAGTTCATGTGCAAAATGAGGTTATACTGGCTCTCCAAACTTAAGGACACCAAATCTCTAGGACAATCACTGGAAAAACACACATGACATTTCCTGAGTGTAGTGCTGTCTGGTCTTACCTGCTATCTCCGTAAGTGTGTTGATGTGATCTCCATCTGCTAGCTTCACAAAGCCAACCTGACTTTGGAAAGTGTCAATTCCTTGGAAGGGCAAAGTCAGGTGTTTCCCTTGAAGGATTTCCTCAATGAATGGCTTCAGTTCCAAAAGTGCATCAGTACCACTAGTGAGAGACAGTATTTTTCATCAAGCAATGTGATAAGTAATAAAATAGACAAAACCAAATAAGAAACAAAGAAGTCCATTTTAAAAGATAAATTATATATATGCCAATTATTTCAAAGTTCAAAATATCTTTTAGATCTAATCTGAGGTTAAAACCAATATTCAGTTTTAAACAACTATAGAAGAGGCGAATTAAGTCTTTTCTTAATTGTGGTTACTATTAAAGACAAAAGCAGACACTTATGGTGGTGTGAATAGGAACAGCCCCCATAGACTCATGTGTTTGAATGCTTGGCCCATAGGGAGTGACATAATTAGGAGGTTTGGCCTTGTTGGAGTAGATGCAACCTTGCTGGAGGAAGTGTATCAGTTTGGAGGTGAGCTTGAGGTCTCATATGCTCAAGTCACACCCAGTGTCTCAGACCACTTCCGGTTGCATGATGATCAAGATGTAAAACTTTCAGCTCCTTCTCCAGCACCATGTCTGCCTGCACATCACATGTTTCCTGCCATGACAATAATGTACTAAACTTCTGAAACTGTAAGTCAGCCCCAATTAAATGTTTTCCTTTATAAAAGTAACATGGTCATGGTGTCTCTTCACACCAACAGAAATTCTAAGACAATACTATTTCCTTATTCATCAAGAAACTTCTCAGATGTGGTAGCACACACCTATAAACAAAGCACTCTGGAGGCTGAGACAGGAGGACTGCAAATTTGAAGCCAACGAGGACCACATAAAACTTAGAGTATAGTAAGACCTTGATTCAAAACACAAAAATTAAAACTTAAAAAAAAAAACAATTGCTAACCAAAAAAAAAAATGTAGCTGTATAACTCAAAGTACTGGGGCTATAGCTTGGTTTTATAGAGCACTTGCCTGCTGTGTATGGATGGGACCCTAGATTCAACCTGCAGGACCTCAGGGAAAAAGAGGTCTACAATGCAAAAGACTCCATTTTTATCAATATTTTACTAATCACACATCTCAAAACAACCCTCTACACAGAATTGTGGGGAGTGTTCGAAACTTTTTGTTTTGGTTTGTTTCTTCGGGGTGTGGTGTTTTGAGGCAGGCTCTCTTATGGAGAAGGATGACTCTGAGTTCTGGTCACCCTGCCACCACCTACCAGGTATTAGGATGACAGGCATGCACCCAGCCTGCGTTTGACAGAATAGGTAAGTACTCTACTGCTAAATCATGTCCCCAGCCCAAGTCCTAGATTTTAAAAAATAAAAGTACTACTACTTACTCAAACAGGACTTACTGTTTACAGTGCATTCTACAAAAACTTAAGCAGGCATTATATCTTAAAATACAATGACTTTATTAACATAATTTATTGTGCTTCGACTCTATATAAAGTGTAAGTTTAACTGTATTTCCCAACAGAACTAAATGCTTGTTATAGCTGTTTAGCCTATGTTCACCTATGACCACTTTATGTTTCAAATCTTTATTTCTCTTTACATTTCAAGTTAGACATTATCAAATTTTGTATGGTCTTAAATTTATGATTACTTATATCTTGGAAATAATTCTGGTGGATTCACCTTATTATGAAAAAAAATTAAACTCACTAGAGGGCAGCAATTACTTAAAAAAGAAATGAGCATCGACAGCATGAACAGGATTTGCAAACTTCCTTCTCATAAAACCATCACTGAATTAATACTGTTCAACAAACAAATAAGTAAAAATACAAAAAAATATTTTTGTAGTGATTTAATATTTCTAAATGAATCTTCATACAGCTTTGAACCGACTCTGTCCTTGTTCTTTCCAGTCATGTTCTAATGACGAGACTGAACCCCAGAACTCCTTGTAGATGTCAGCGTTTCTCCCCGTTATCTCCACAGCCTCCTCCTAAGTCCAGTGTCCCTAACTGCATTTGGGACCATAGAACATGCTCTATACACTGAACAAATCCTGCCCTTCACTGAGCTCTGTGCTGCAAAGCATGGGATCAGAGAGCAGCACTCACATACCTACCAGAGACAGACTGAGGGAACTCAAGACATCCAGGTGGCATGGAACTATAGACTAAAACAAGCCATGAGAAAGATAAGACTTTTCCAGAAATAACAAATTCTGCAGAATCCTCGTAAAGGAAACAGGAGTGACCTAAATAGTGCAGGTTTTCAGTTATCTGGCTGTATGCATGCAAGTATTTGCCTAATGAGATGCTATTGATCCAAAGAAGGAGTCAGAGGGTCCCTTGGTGAATGTCGCTATCAGATCCTTTTTAAAACAGGGCATCTTCTCAAGAGTGCTTTGTGAAAGGCTTCTTTATATTTAAATAAGGTTTTTTTTTATTTTAAAAACAAGCATATCCATGTACAAACAGAAATTCTGAAACTGAGTTCAGGCCAAAGGTTATACTTAAATTAAGATAGGACAACTGTCTTATCAATCAGCAACTACTTTACACCTAATATACTTAAACTTCTTCTACAAACTGAAGACACAAAAGGACCTTTCATGACATCTACCCAAACCAATTCAATGATTTTAAGATGCCTCTGCAATGCTATCAAATCTACTGATTGAGACGTGACTAAATAACTAAGGTCAGATGCTAGACTCTATAGAATAGAAATGAATAAGGACTGGCAGCGGATAATCTAGACACCTAGCGTACTATACAATATTGGATGAAGAACAGAAATGTTAGCTTAGAGACTTTTTTTTAATTGTTCACATAAAAAAATTGTCTCCCCAGAAAACTCGATCCACTTGGTTTTATTTAGAAGCCCAACCAACAGAGGTCACACCTTGGATCATACATCGCTTAGAAACTGACAGCTCTGGTCCTCCAGAATGTGGGTAGGCTTCATAAAACCAACTGAAGGCCTAAGAGAAAAGACTGGAGCACAGAAGGCATTCTCTCTCCAGAGTTCCCTGCCTCCAGGTCTGGAAAGACAACCTAAGACAGACACAGTCATCTGTCCTGTGACAGAAGTGTAGGTGTTAAAAAATAATTTAAAAGGAGGACCTGTGGGAACCTACAGAATTGACTCCATTCCATTTTGACTTATGGTCTTAGAGTTTTTACCTGCCCTTGCTCTTCCAAGGTGAAACAATAAGGATGTCTGGCCTAAGATGTGACTGTGACAGGATGCTTGGGGTAGGATATGGTTGCTGTATGTCCTGCCTAAACAATAGACTACTTAACTCAGGGCATAGCCATTTGATGTTTGGGGTATTGAGAAGGCAATTATGCCTGCTGGTTCTTTGTCTTTTGCCTTCTCCCCCTCTTTTGATGGGAGTGTAAAAAGACTGTGCACAATAAACATGGGTGGTTCCGTATTCAGTAGATGCCCTCCTGACTCTATTCTGTGTAGCTTTCTTAGTATCTTTAATTTTTCTGCCTGCCATTTCTTAATCCACGGGCCACTTGGTCCATGGAGAAAGTTCCAGGGCAGCCAAGGCTACACAGTGAGAAACCCTGTCTCAACAAATAAAAAAAAAGAAAAGAAAAGAAAAAGAGAAAGAAAAAAGTAAACGGGCTATAGTGGAATGTATCTGAAACCACAACACTGAGGCAGTCCAAGGCCACACTTGATGAATCAAGTTTGAGGCTAGCCTATGCTATATAAAATAAACTGTAAAAACTCTCTGTACAATGACTATCGATCAAGATAATCAGGATAAAGAATATTTCTTTAGAATCTCAATGCCTCCTATTATTTACTGAACTCATCTATTATTTACTCACAGTAGAGTAATAATTTAGGAAATAATATTCAAGAAAGACGTACTACTCACATGTTTACTTCATCTTCATTTAATAACTGCATCACTAGCAAGGTGATATGAAAGGAACCATCACCAACCATGGCTTTGGCCAGCCGCTTATCCTGTTGCAGTATCGCATTTTGCAAGACCTTAATTCCAGCTGTGATCTAATCACACAAAAAAGTTATAAGTAAGCAAAACTTCTATAATGCAAAACTTAAATCAATAAGAAAAATAAGCAAGCAACTACCAAAATTAAAGCGAGGTCAAGATTCTACAACCAAATCCATAATCATCTGCTTGTTCTTACAATTGATAGAGAGTTGACTGAGATGGCTTGATATTCTAAATAAATGTAGAAAAATGACAAATGTGTATCTGTCTGACAGGCACTGAACACAACACTCTTATTTTGCAGACTGGGTGGGGAAACTCCCCATTGCCACACATCCTTTTAGAATGTGTCCTGGTAATATGGGCCTGACTCACTAATCATGACCATTGCTAAGGGGGAAAAAGTTTTATTCTTCCAGAGAAAGGCCAAATCAGCAGACAACATTCCATTTCTGTTAGAAGTAATATTTATTTGTCCCACAGTGAATTGTTGGACCTATTCCTCATTGCTTTTAAGATTCTCTGGGATAAGAGGAATTCCAACAAGAATGGCTGCTGGCATTTTCTTCCTGACTTGTGAGGGATGGGTGGGGCATAACCATGGCGACAGAGCTGAAGGAAATCCAAGCTATGACAACATGCATCCAAGGGAAAGTCTGCAGGTGGGGCTGCCTGTCCGTCCTCCCTCTCAGTACCTGTTCCTCTGGAACAAGAAGAGGGGTGATGGCTCTCCCTCCTCCATTTCCTGTTAGAACCACAAATGCTAGTCAAGCTGTAAATGTCAGTGTACTGGAGAGTAATCTGAAGTAAAACAGCAAGCCCAGAGAAAGGCCCGAGAGAATTCCTAAAAGCCGTGGGACTGCAGAATTAATAAGAGAAAAGGAAAAGCTGGGCTGGCAACAGAGGCAGCATCCAACAAAACAAAGCAGAAAGGGGAGGGAGGGTGGGGAGGGCCCAGGGCCGTGAGCATAGCAGGCTCTGCTTCTGGAGCCCCTGTGTTACCCTCAACAATGGCCCCATTATTGTGGGATGCACTGACAAATCATAAGACACTGTCCTGGGACCTAGACTTTCCCCTGGAACCAGGCTCCAAGTCCACTGCTTAATTAGGCCCACCAGTCCCTCCTTTGTCCCACTCTGAGTAAGACTCTTGTGACGTCACCTTGGAGAAAATCTCCCATCCTTGGTATCCTGAGCACCTCCCTGCGGCCTGACCTTGACAGTGGTCCTGTCAAGCCATGTTTCTTTTTAGCAATGCTCTATCCCCTGACCTCAACACTGCTCTCCTTGTTACAAATCCCCGCTGTACTTTCTATAGTCAGAATAAAGCCCATCTCTCTCCATGAGACTGTTTCCCGTCTCCATGGGCCCTGGTAAAGTGACACCAACCTGGCCTTAAAATTGCCCAATGTGATTAAAAATAGCCTCAACTTGGCTTAAACTGAAAAAAAATCAGCAAAATTTCTAGTCATTTCTGGTTTTGCTAGACAGAAACATAAATGAACCTCAGTCTATCGTAAGCGCCCAACTAACATATGATGATTATGTGACTAGGGCTGTTACGACAATGTAAACCATAACTTAGTAAGTGCAATCAATTTCTTTATTTTACTCCCACGGTTTTTCCTATAAATACCGACCTCTGACACAAGGAAATGAGAACACTAACCTCTTTTAAGTCTGGTGTCCCCAATTCACAAATTGTTCCTTACTCAAACTTAATAAAATGTTACTGTGCCCGAGATTTTCCTTTAAGAATTTAGTGGCAGGATCAGAACTCAAAGGAGACCCCAGTGACCTCCAGGAACACGGAGGAGCCAACTAAAGGAAGACACCAGGTCCATCATAGATAACTCCAGCAGGTGGCATGTGTGTGAGGAAAATACTGACCCCTCTTCAAAAGCTGCTTCTAGGGTCCTGACAAACAACTAAAAGACCTAGGCAAGCAATTCCCATTGTCTTCCCACAGAAGACTGAATGGTCTATTATTCAATCATGTAAGCAGGAAAACAGATGACTCACTCTCTGATTACACTGCTAGATTAGGAATCTCGCTGTTAAACATTTTCATTAAAAACACAGCTTGAGTATTTCTCTTTTTAATTCTATAAACTTTGTTAGTACAAAAAAAGAAAACCTTTTAAATAAATAAAAAACATCACATAGCAAAGCTAGCCAGACGCAAAGCACAGTGTTTCTTATCGGCACTGACATGACTTTTATGGATGTTTGTCAGAGGCCTTGGTGACCTGCAGAGAAACACAAGCCTGAACGCAGTCAAACAGTTTAAAAGAGCAGTAAGAACAAGATGAGGACCAGCTCAGTCCATGACTAAAGGCACCTGCCACCAGCCCTGAGGACCTGAGTTCAATCCGTGTGTTCCACAGGGTGGAAGAAGAGAACTTACTCCTACAAGTTTCCTCTGATCACCAGATACACACACACATACACACACACACTAAATAAAATATAATAAAACATTAATAAATAAGAAAAAGAATCCAGATCCTCATGTCCATGTGACGACTAAAAAAAGCTATACAGACAAAGACCAAGAGGTTTTCCTCTCCTCACGTCTTTATCTCCAGAGGTCCTATACCAAGAAATCCTGTACCTTAGATTTCTGTCACTATGACAGAGTCACATCAAAAGAAAAAAGACTGTCCAGTACGCTAGCAGTCTTCCAAAGACACTGTGCCTTTTGGTAGAGACATACCTCCATCAGGTGAACCCTCAGGGTCTCAACTATTGAAATAAAGATCAATGCTGATGGGGATTACTACAGTAAATCAACACACCCCTTAATATAAAGAAAGTATTTCAGTGGGAGAGGGTGGGGCTCAAGTCAAATCCAGAGAATCTCTGTCTGACCAGTTGACACATCTTCTGGACCACTCTCCGCAATGCACAATTTCCCACTGTGTGACAGTGAGATGAAAGAGCCTTCTAACCTAAGGGGACACAGCACGTTTTCTTTGGAGGAAGAAATAAGCCCAGAGTTCCCTGACTCTCTGGAGTCCCAGGGCTACTCCGCTCCTCACAAACAGGAACTGATAAAATAGAAACCTAGACCTCTCTAAGTCCCCAGTAACTTGTGGGTTTTCCTCTTCCACCAGCAGAGAGAAAAGTCCAGGTATAAATGTTCAAGTAGACTGGCCATTGCTTCAGTTGACTGACTCCCTAAAGCTGCAGACAGTCCAAGCACTTTCACTAATTATGTGGGGATGGGGTGGGGTGGGTGTCGAAACTAGGTCATGTAATAGCTCCTGCTAACTGATGCCTGAGGCACTCCAATCCTTGTTGTGAGATATTTGGTTTACGCTGTATAAAGATACGTCACTGGGATTGGTTTAATAAAAAGCTAAACAGCCAATAGTTAGACAGGAGGTAAAGGCGGGACTTCTGGACAGAGAGAGCTCTGGGAAGAAGAAAAGCAGGGTCCCTAGACAGAGGCAGAGGGAGCAAGACATGCAGGAGAGGTAAAATCCACAGTCATGTGGCAGCATGTGGATGAATAGAAATGGGTTAATTTAAGCTATGAATGGTAGTGTAACAAGCCTAAGCTATAGGTCAAGCTTTCACAACTAGTAAGTCTCTGTGTCATTTTGTGTAAGCTCTAGAGGCCCAAAGAACAATCCATCTACAAATCCTACCAGGTAAAAACCTAAGAGAAAGTAGAAGGTTTTTGTATACCTATCTGCCATAAATGAAATTATAATTCCAAGATTCTTGGTGGTTCTGGACCCTAACACTGTTATCTGATGTGCCTGCAAGTTCTGAAGAGCTCACAGTGGAGGACCTGTACTCTTCCTTCTGTGGTAGGCCAGCTGATGAAAGCTGGGATGTTCTGCCTTTAATGATCAGCAATACACACAGCCTGTATGCCCTATAGGTTCAGGAAAAGCCCATCTCATCTGTCTCAAGCATTACACTGTCAACCCTGTAATGCGTGAGGAAATTCACTTACTTAATATGCAAAGAATCTGATGCTATGTTCCCTACCAAGATAGGATCTGAAGTAACTCAGTTCTTCTCCTACAGCACGTACTCTACCAACACCAAAAGGCCACCATAGAAAAACTTGAGATCTATTGAGAAAAAGTCCATTGCTTAGGTCATAATCTGCTCACCTGAATTTCCCCCTCACATGGGAGAGTAAAGACAATCCATTGGTCCCCTGACCAGCAGCTTACAAATTATAGAGATGTTTCTGTGGACTCTGAATACTGCACATCTTGATCTAAATTTCTTCCTGATGGTATGCCCTTTATGGCAACTTTAAAAATTCGGCCAGAACCTTCTCTGTGAGAAGATAGCCAGGAACAAGCTTCAGGCCAAATAAAGTTGACCTCATGCTCATCTTCAGCATTTTAGTGCAATGGTGAGATAGCTTTAGACCATGTGTGCCTTTGAATTATCCATTAACTATGAAACTAAAAATGAAAAACTGTAAAATGCTTTGAAGACTCTTATTTCCATGAAGCCACATGACACTTGTAATATAGGATTAACCTCAAACCTATGAAAATTTAAAAGCTAATCTAATCAAGCAACATATTTCCAACTATGCTTTGATGCTTCCAATTAATTTATAGATTCCCTGATACATCTTAAGACATTTTAAGTACTTTTTATTCCTAATTACAATCTTTAAAAGGCAAGGACAACACTCCAGAATCTTAACTGTACGTTATTAAAAGAAGCTAATTTTCAGTCACCGTTTAAAATTCCTCAGAATCATTAACCCTTACCCAAGACCCTAATGTCCCACCACTATTGTGCATGCACAAAGTACACTTTCAAACTTAATACTAACAGTCTCGCTTAAATATAACATTAAAAGAAATGTCTACAAACAGAAATTCGACTGAAATCTTAAATATTCTACTCACTGAGTCAACATAAAACTCATCTGTTAGGCATCACCACTAAGCCATCGTCCATATGCCTACACTAATGCAATTAGAAAAGTCATCTGTATGTCTTTGAAACCTTCTAATTGACTAAATGTATATGTAAGCTTTTAAAATGGTATAAATTAGCATGCTTCCAC